TAAAATAAAATAAAATAAAATAAAATAAAATAAAATAAAATGGGAGGTCTTTTTCCATTGGTATCCAAAAGCTGTCCAAATATTTCCTTCCACCTGAGGTCTTGGTTGGTTTTATTTTGAGCCTCTTTTCAATGCCAGTATGGATGCCCTAAAAGAGAGCACCAGAGATACTCATAAAACTTCCTTTATTTATCACTGACCCTGACAGAGGTCTCTATCAAAACCCATAGGACTGTCAGGCACTCATCTTTTATATTAGCTTTTTTCTCTTTTGAGTTATTTGTCTTGCCAAAGAGGTAACTTGTTATAGTTGGTATCATTCAAACTAACTCTGTAGTAGATAAGGTCAGGGCTCTTTTCACTGATTCTTACAAGAAGACAATTGGAAGTACAAACAAGGCTGGAGTCCACTTTTATTAAGCTGACACTTCAGGGAGAATGCTAAATGAACATCAAACCCTCTTCACCTTTCCTGTTTCCCTCATTCCAGAAAGCAACTGACACCTTGCCCTGTCATGATAAGCTCCTCACTAGTTAGCCAAACACTTGGCAAGTGAACACCAATATTAATGCTGCCAGGTTTAATAATCAGTGTTTGCACTGCTGTTAAAGAGGTAATATTATAATTGGGTGACCCCTGGTCCTTTATCCAAAAGCTAAATTTATCCTAGTAACAAGACTTAATTTTCTTACATGTTGGAGATTGGTGTCCAATGTTAGGTGAAACCTAGGTGAAACTATAGGACCCAAGTCTAGATATATTAATCCCATACCGTTATGTAGCTTAAACCTTTAATTTTATCACTGAAACTCCTCTGCTAAACTATTCCCATCTCCATTCTGTAATCTCTGCATTTTTCTTCCTTAATACGAAAAGGATAATATGATCATCTTTAAGATGCTTTCTGATTCTGATAATAACTCTAAGTACCTATTTCTATCCTAACTGGATATTCAGGCATAAATGTTAGAAGGAGTAGGAGAATGAAAAAGAAATGGTAATGAATCCAATGCTTCAGAAATAAAAGGCAGCATAGGACACTTCCATGAATTATATGAAAAGGGAGATTAAAAAGAGCACTGGCACCAACTGCTTCTCATTATAGATCAAGGACAAGGACTATGACATCTTTATGAGTTTCCTGAGTTTATAACATATAGCTTCCCCAGTATTTGTTCATGATTGTTGTTGGAAGGCGTATCAGCACCCTGTAGTGATTATTGCCAAAGCCCTTGAAAAGAAAAAGAGCTGTGTGTTGGTGGATGGTATGCAATGACCTGGGACAGAATAAATTGGAGATTATATTTGTTCTGGTGTGAACTCCAGATACAGAAGATCTCACAGACTATAGCAGATCTGTGGAGAGGGAAGTCAGCTTGGTTTAGTCCTTTAAAGGGTTTGCTTTAACCTGGTAAAACACTCCAGTCTATGGGCAAATATCCAAGCCCAGTAACACTGAGCATTTTGCAAGACAGTCCTCTGCTGGCCTCCCTTCACCTCTTGGTTCCTAGCCTCATCTCAGCTCCCAACCCTCAGGCTTTCTCTCACCCTCCTCAGCCTCACACCTCCAACCTGATTCATGAAATACCTTATTTTCTAAACTAAATTCATCTCCTTCTTCTCCTGATCATACAAGAAATACCTATCTGCAGAATCCCTGGAAAACATAGAAGGACAGAGAGAAAGGCTGACAAATTTCAGATCCCAGCTGTAGAAGCAAGCCAGAGTTTAGCTAGGAAAAGGCCCAATGATTTATCTGATTATTTCCACAGGAAAAACAAATTCGGATCAAACTGGATGGTTTGTCTACAACATCTGTTAGGTAGTTTTTTCAATATCCATGATTGACCCTTGAAACCAATTATCTGGATGTTCAGCATCATACTGATATGGCCATAGCATAATTAAAAGCAAGACTCTAGAGCTGCACTGTCCAATGAAGAGGCTACATGTAGCTATTGAGCATTTAAGATGTGGCTAATTCAAATTGAAGTCCTAAGTATAAAATGCACAATTTCGAAGATAGTAATTTTAACTTTTCTAATAGGCTTAAAAAAGTAAAAATTACTTTATTTCCATTGGACAGTCCTTCTCTGGAACATTCTGCCTGGCTTCATACAAGCTAACTGTTCCCAAGCATGTTAACCAATTTCCTCTTCTGTGAAATGGAAATAATAATTCCTGCTTCTTAGGGCGCTTCATTGTACTGCTGCATCATCAAGTCAATGCATGTGAGTTGTCCCTTGGAATAGAGCCTGACCTTGAGTAAGCAACATTCTTCAGCCTAGGCAATCCCCAAAGAGAAACTTAACTGAAACCCAAGCCACTAATAATCTTAGCAGCTGGAGGAATGAATGAGTGCCTCTCTGGGCAGTACATCATGGCCTCCACAAGGACTTCTCCTTATACAACGGAGAGTGTATGTTTAGCAGCACCTGGGTGGCTCAATCGGTTAAGCTTCTGACTCTTGATTTCAGCTCAGGTCATGATCTCATGGTTCATGACATCAAGCTGACAGCACAGAGTCTGCTTGAAAATCTCTGTCTTCCTCTCTCTCTCTCTCTCTCTCTCTCTGCTCCTCCCCATCTCTCTCTCTCAAAATAAACACTTAAAGCAAACTCTTCCTGAAAAGTAACTAGATGAAAAAGAGGAAACTTATCTCTTTGTACCTGATAAAATGTACTTAATATGATAGAAAATATCTAATATGTCTAGTAGATGAATATAAACCAAGCATTGAAATAAGACATACGAAAGGCAAATAGCAATACTAGACAATACACATGAAATGCCCAATGAATAACACAGAATAGGTAGAAACCATAAGGGTTTAGTAAGTTGAATGTTTATGAAAGAGTTATTCCAATAAGGAGAAACAAAACGAGTAGCATATAAAGAAATGAATCAAGGTAACATACTTTCAGGACACACATGGACCAATTTGTTGGAAAGAAGTTTCCTATAGGAAGATACAGGAGGTAAAACTAGAAACATAAATAGGTGGCAGACTTTAAGCTGCCTCATTCCTAGATGGGAAAGCCACTTTAAGCTACAGTTCTAGGGAGGTAGGGTGATAAGTACACAGAAGTAATTTGGGAAGATGGATTTTGCAGACCATGTCAAAATATTCTTTAACCTCTCTGGGACTCTGCATCCTTTGCAAAACCATGCTGATCTAATCATTTTACCCTGTATTCTTACATGCTACTTTTCCAACTTTATTAATAATTGGCTCTTCAATACATGGGAAGCGCCCTGGGATAGGGCTTTGCTTCAGAATATCACAAGTGAATAATAATCAGAAATGTGTATGTGTGTGTGTGTGTGTGTGTATATATATACACACATACATATATACATACATACATACACACACACACACACACACACACACACTACTATCATTTACTGTTGAGAAAGACACGCTAACAGATCTTATGTAGAGAGACTGGTGATATGTGATTAAGTGGTTATCAGATGCTTCTAAATTGCACTGCAATGTCCAAATATGACAAAAAGCATTAGGAAATGTTGTAGGGTCAATAAATAGTTACTAATATAGCCCAATGAAAGAAAAATTTGGGGTGCCTGGGTAGCTCAGTGGGTTAACTCTTGATCTCAGCTCAGGTCATGAACTCATCATTGTGAGACTGAGCCCTACATCAGGCTCTGTGCTGAGTGTGGAGTCTGCTTGGGATATTCTCATTCTCTCTCTCTCTCTCTCTCTCTCTCTCTCTCTCTCTCTCCCCCTCTTCCTCGTGCACACACGCTCTCTCTCAAAAAGAAATATTTTAAAGAAAAGAAAAACTATCCTGGGGACAGATAAGGAAGGTGTAACTGAATGAAGTTATGCTGCCTATAGAAGTTGTAGAAGTTGTTTAATCTTTCTTTTTAAAGAATAAAAACAGAAACTTTATCAAAGAGGATCCTTTGTTTAAAATGTTACAAACCCACATTCTCTTTATCCTGTAATGGGGGTCTGTGTTGTGTGTTTGCTATTGGTTTCCTCAGACCCAGATTAGTCCCAAAGAAGGGTGGCAAGTGTACAGTTCAGCACAAGACCCTGATGGACGATGCATTTGCACAGTGGTGGCTCCAGAACAAAACCTGTGTTCCAGGGATGCCAAAAGCAGGCAGCTTCGCCAACTTCTGGAAAAGGTACGTGTCCTGTCCTCCATTTTTTTTTTTAATCTACCGTTCCTTGAAAAGGAAATGCAGGAAAGCAGGCAATAATGAGGAAGGTCCTTCCAATTTTTGTCCCGCTTTCTCAAACTTTTTTTTCCTTCCTTGAAAGGAGTACCTCAAGATTCCTGCTCTCCTGTTTATTTGTATCACTTTTTATTTTTCTCAATCTTACCTTCTTAAGACTGGATATCTATCATATGCCTTAATATCCAGTTGGGCTCTTCTTAAGGGGAAAAAAAGGCAAAAAGTCTTATTCCTATGCCAGAAATCTATCCTCAATTCCCAGGAACACACTAGGCTGTTTGAGCTCATGCATTTGAATCACATTAACAACCTTGCAAGGAAGTTAAAATAATGGAATGCAATATGCAAGCTATCTGAACAGATAATGAATAATTTCAAGTATTTATCATCATTCTCTAAGTCATTCCTTTGAACATTAAGCTCTTCAATTTCATTCAACAGCAATCTCTCCATATAATTTACTTAAGCCGATCCAGAACAATCAAATGCAGAATGCCCTTGATTTATTCTTTTTTACAGATAAAAGTCAGCTCATGAAACATTATTTATGTTTAGTTTGAGGAGGAAAAAAAAAACAATGAATGGTTCTTTCAATTATTCTCATTCAGAATTTCACTGTGTTGGGCTCTGAATATAGTAGGACAGCTGGGTGGCCAGACTGATGGTAAGACGGCAACATGTGGGAATTTTAAGTACCTTCAGGGATAATAAGATAAATTAGGTAGTATGTGCTTTTAGAGAACATCATGCTCAACCATTCACTCAGTGCAATATCATTTCTATGATCATTCATACAATGATGGCACTGAATAAGAACTTTTTAAGGAAAGTTAAGAGAAGCCAGAAAAATGAAAGCATCAAATTTGTTAATATAGACATGCCGACTTTATGCAATTTCAAGCTTAGCAACAATAACTTTCTTCTACTGCCATGTAATGAAAATAAATTTCTTCCATGTACATTATTTGGAAGTCTATTGATGCTCTAAAATTTTAAGAAAGCTTTTTTCTTGTTTTTATAAAATGATTAGTCCTGTTTTCCCTCCCCCTCTCCTCAGAGCTATCATCAATCTATCGATTCTCTCTTATGTCTCTTTTTATAAGATCCTATCTTCCCTGCTCCTTCAATATCTGTCCCCCAGACAAAAGCAAATGTCATTTTCATTCAAGTTAACGACTCTAGCTAATGTGCCTCTCAGCTATTAGAAATCATGACAAATGAACTGTGATTTTTCTTGGGTATGCCTTACCAATCTTGGTTTTCTTTATTTCTATGAAAAAAACTCCAAATATATAGTTTAATATTGTTTGGTTACTAGGGATATTACATTAGTAAAAAGATTTAATCTTTTAAATCCAATTTTGCTTTTCTATTAAATTTGCTTTTCTATTAAATATTTCCCCTCAAATTATAGACTTACTGATCCTATATTCTTTTTCTGTGCAAAAGCATCTTTTTTCTATGTCAACTATGGTGAGAAACATTCTTAGATACTCTACCCTTATTTTTGTTATTGTTTTTCAATATAGCGTTACATATCCATACCTCCCCCCATACAGATTCAGACATCTCTTCTGAACCTGTTGGAAAAAAAAAACAACACAGATTTCTTCTGAAATCAGTTGAGAAAGTTCAAATAAAGTGTTAGAAGGTGGATAATACCCTCTACAGGTCCAAAGTGAAATGTACTCCAGAACTATGATAAAACAGGGAATTAGTGTAAGATGAAGAAGGCAAAAAAATACGACCAAGGAGGTTGACCACAAGCCATCACTGATACGACTACCCCATCTAATATGTAATGTGTTTAATGATTTAAAGAAATTCTAGAAAAATCACACCTTTAAAAAGTCATTGTATCTAATTAACAAAAAACCACACAAAATTTATTAACAAAATCTAGGTCTCTACAAGTTATGTTTATTAAATTTACCATTTGAGAGTATTATAGGAGGGAATAGTAAAGGGAATAGTATATAGGAGGGAATAGTAATAGTAAATTATGTACATTACTTGGAGTGGGCTGAAGAAGGGAGTAGCACTGATTTGCTGCAATGACCCAAAATAAACACCATCTGAAATAAGCACTCCTTATTCAGACTGAGCCAGTTTTTCTTATTGACTTCTCTATAGTTTCACAAATATCCAAGGCACCGGATGGAAAACCGGAGCATGAGTTTAGGCTGCCCACTCACCATTAACCAAAGAACTAATTTAGTCACATAATAAGGAAATGTTTTTAAAGATAGATAGATAGATAGACTGATTGATAGACTGATTGATAGACTGATTGATAGACTGATTGATAGACTTATTTATTTATTTTTTATTTATTTATTTATTTATTTATTTATTTTGAGAGAAAGCGTGCACATGAGAGAAAGAGAATCCCAAGCAGACTCTGCACTGTCAGCGCAGAGCCCAATGCAGGGCTTGAACTCACAAACTGAACCGTGAGATCATGACCTGAGCTGAAATCGAGCTGGATACTTAACCAACTGAACCACCCAGGTGCCCCTAAGGAAATGTTTTTAACAATAATATTGATAACAGTATTTCCCATATCTGTATCCACTCCATTCAATCCTCACAGCTGAGGAACCTGCCCTTCTAAGTTTACGTAAAAAGAAACTGCTTTTTGAGGTTAAAGAACCTACCAGTGTCACTCAACCAGTGTATTATGGGGGCTTTACCAGATCAGTTCTGTGTTTTCTCAACACCATGCTAGTGTCATCCAGAATGTCACAGGTGGTACCCATACTAATTTAAGCAATGTTCTGTCAAATATTTTTAACCATATCTACATTACGTAATATTTAAAGAATTACAATTGTTTTCCCAATATTTCAGGTCTTAATATGCCCAAACTACAACTGTTCATTTAAAAAAAACGTTTGTTGGGGCGCCTGGGTGGCACAGTCGGTTAAGCGTCCGACTTCAGCCAGGTCACGATCTCGCGGTCCGTGAGTTCGAGCCCCGCGTCAGGCTCTGGGCTGATGGCTCAGAGCCTGGAGCCTGTTTCCGATTCTGTGTCTTCCTCTCTCTCTGCCCCTCCCCGGTTCATGCTCTGTCTCTCTCTGTCCCAAAAAAATAAATAAACGTTGAAAAAAAAAAAATTTAAAAAAACGTTTGTTAGCAGGGCAC